TATGTCTGAGGGGAACTTACTGTCTTTAGAATAGTGTAGATGGTATTTTTTCTTTTCCTCTTGCCTCTGTATAATGCATATTAAAGTTCATAAGTGCAGCGCTGCTTTGTTTACAGCGGAAACCAAGAAAACGCTTTAAGCGCCGCCTGCTGGCAGAGAGTGCATCTGCATCTCGTTCAGCTCGTCTGCTGTTTCTGTTTCATGCAGATATATTTATGTATAGTTTCACAAAACTGAAGTCAAACCATTCTGTTTTTGCTTCAAATTTAGAAATTATACAATCTAATTTAGATTAAAAACTGCTCATGTTGCATGTATGCAGCATCTTTGTTTGGATAATGATTATTATTATGTTTAATGATTATTAAACATAATTATATCATCGTTTGGAAATGATTGCCTCTAATTTTAAAAGGAAAGAGCACAGACAAAGCCTTATTTTGTTTATATGAAGATATTTCTTTTATTTGTGTTACTTATTTATTTGATTTGGGGCTTGTTTTAAAATGTTAATTTAGTTTTGTCATTTACGTTATATTTCAATTTTGTCATTTAGCAGATGCTTTTATCCAAAGCGACTTACAAATGAGGACAATAGAAGCAATCAAAACCAACAAAAGAGCAATAATATACAAGTGCTATATTAGTATATTATTATAGTGTTATATTTCAATTTCACAAAGAAACATGCAGCATTTTGTCCAAGCAATAATAAAAGGACACATTTATTTATAATTTGTCTTAAACTTAATTTTGTAAAATAAAAAAATAAAAAACGTGAATCGAATCGTGAGTTGAGTGAATCGTTACATCCCTACGAACGACAGTCACATCACAGATCAGATTTCATTTATCACGTGAGGAGAAGCTGACAAAACGAGTGAGGTGAGACAGACAAGACGATGGCAGAAGAGTTTCAAAACGACATGCCAAAGCGCCTGTTTTAAAAATATTTTGGATTTTGAAAAGCCTGTTGACTTCTGCCGTTTATCTAAGGTGATATTGGAAGTTTTTTTTAAGCATTTGTTTCTTCTTTATTTGGTTCCACAGTGTTTGCTGATTTTTTTTATTTATTTAAACTGTATTTTTTATTTTATTTTACATCAAGTATGCCGTGTCTTCAAGCTTTCTTAATCGTTTTGCTAATAAACGTACGTTTCTTATTTATTTTCCACTGTTTACTGATCTTCAGTTTTGTATACCTAAACCTTGTGTAAGTTATTTGTTATTTTATATTAGGCATATAGCATGGTGTATTTGTATTCGTTTTGTTAATAAAAGTTCTATGTTTTTCGTTGTATTTTGTTGTTGCTTGAATTGAATTCAAGCATTGATGGCAAATTGCCGCTAATTTTAAAGTGAAAGTAAAATGCTCATCATGCGTTTAAGCTATTTAAAAGCAAAGGAAAAGAGGGAGAACTCAAAAAAAAATAAAAACAAACAACTGCTTGATGGCAAATTTCCGCTAATTTGAAAGTGAACGTAAAATTCGCATGGTGCTTTTACAAGCTATTTAAAGAGATAAGAGATAAAACTACCCCCCACCCCTGATGATACCGGTATTACCGGTATCACCACACATTGATTAACCTCACCGTCACAACCCTAGTGGACTTTAGTGGCTGTTTGAATGCATTCAACCGCATGAGCGTCCACACTATCAGCACAATCAGGTCGAATGAAATTTTGACTACCTTTGGAAGTAATCAAAACTGGACAAGCTCAAAAAATTTTAGTTCCCATTCACACCTGTATTTAGCATCGTCCACTTGCGATCGGGTTGACCAAAACGCATCTTAATATCAGGTGTAAACGGGGCTTGACATCCGTCATCAGTCCCAAACACTGACTGTGTAAACGTGATCGTAGTGCCCCTGTAGCCTGTGCAATTCCGTTTTATAACTTTGTAGTTTGTAGTTTTATGAACTTTTCAAACTTTGAATGTACTTTCAATAGCCCGGAGCAGTGATTGCATCTTGGCATTTTGCATTTGGTGGTAAACTGTTTTTTTTTTTTAATCCCAGTATTCTTCCGACTACATTTCTTTGCTGCTGATAGTGGAGTGAGAAACATCGCAGAAACATACACATGGAAAGTGTGGTGTAGTTTATCTGAGTTGTTTTTTATGTATGCATGTCTCCGTCAGGTACCGAGAAAGTTCGCCAAGCTCAGGGCTGTAAACATCTCCATGTGGTGAATCCTGAATGGTTGTGGGCCTGTTTGGAGCGCTGGGAGCGAGTCGAGGAGCAACTCTTTCCTCTCAGAGAGGACTATAACAAATCACACAGGTATTTATCTCTCACAGTCTCTCTTTCTCTTCTGTTCTGTCTGTCTGTCCTGCTTTTTTTATCCTTTAAGTTCACTTGTGCCTTTTAGCATAAAGATTGTAAAAACAACATTCTGTTTTGTGGGTATTTTCGGTCGTGACTGCTGAACTTTTCATTGTGCTTTTCACTCGCTGAACTGCAACACTCATGAATAGAATATGACGAAATCTTTCAGCTTGTTCTGACTCCTGCAATATTAAAGAATTATTAGATTAATGATTTACACAAAAATTACTTATTTTGTTCCAAATGCACATGACTTTCCTCTGTGGAACACTAAAGGAGGTGCCTAGCAGATTGTTAAAGGAAAGTGAACTGTGTCCAGGACTGTCATGCAAGATTTTCAGTCTGTTTATCATTTGGCTTCAGAAGGCTTTAAAGCACTACACTATTGAAATGAACTACCTTTGTTACCTTTAAGGCCCATTCACACCAAGGATGATAACTATAATGCTAAAGATACAGTTTTAAAAATCATTCTAAATTTAAAGAATAGCACACTAGGGGTGTCTCCACGATCTGCTTTTGAAGAAATATCGTAGTATCATGCAACAGCGCACATTCTATCAGGTGCAGTTCTGGTGCCAATGCTGTACAATGCCACATACATTCACACCAGTGTCAACTCTGCGATAGAGATACACTCACAGGACACTGCACTTTTTCGCAATCACAAAAGTACATTACTTGCATGTGGTTTAAAGCCTTCCCGGTTAAACATTTCATTCGCGTGCTGTTCTGAGGTTCACAAGGTTTACATATAAACACAGTTGGTTATGTCTAAAATGAAAGTAAACAGTTGAGAGAGAATCGGATGCTTGCAGGTCCTAAAGCGACAGTACTAAACATACCTGTCAACACTCCCGTATTCCACACCCATCCCGTTTTATTTCTCCCGCGAAACTCCCATAATTTGCGTGGCCGAAACCTCGTTATATGAATGATCATATCAATATATTATCCCAAGGTTGTCCAGTTGCCAGATCTTGTGTGAAACGCATCCTACTCACACAATCGATACATCATAAAAATTTCAACCCATTTGTGACCTCAACCTGGCAACCTAAAACCCAGTTGTGCTGTTGATATCTGCGCAGGTAGCAGACGTGGCAATCAAGTGAAATGGGAGAAGACTCGGGTGGTGCTCCAGCGAAAACAAAATATACATGTAAATTTAACTTTAAAAAGTCTATTTGACACATTTCAATTTTGCAAGGAAATTAGAAATAATAAAAGGACACCTTTTCATTTAGAATTTGTCTTAAATCGGATTTTGTAAAAAAAAAAATTGTGGGAAAATCGTATCGTGACATCAGTATCATTAATCGTATCGCATCGTGAGTTGAGTGAATTGTTACATCCCTACTAAAATTCCAAAAGAAGTGTCTAGTTTTATTGTTACTATACAGTACTTTACTCGTCTCCACCTCCAACTGTTGGGACCCGAAAAAGTAAATGTAAAAATGACCACAAACTGTTAGCTTAGGAGGGTTTATTTTTAAGATTAGAGGTTAAATATAACATCTTTTACTGTAGGAGCAGTAGTCCCGCCATGTTTCCAGACATCCCCGGGTCTGTCCCGAAGCCTCTGTTCCAGGCCCCTCCTGTCCAGCAGAAGCCCCTGCCAGCACCGGAAATGAGGACGTATGACCCCGTCACCGGCAAACTAATCCGCCGAGGTCCTCAGGCGTCCCGTCCACCCTCTTATCTGCACTCGCGCGGATCATCCATGTCGGCCAAAGGAGATCTGTCCAGCCTCAGGTACTTCATATGTTTTGTGCATTTATGTTTATGTTTGGCGCAGTTCATACTGATGTTCATCAAATCCAGTCACTGAATATCTGATACAGTAAAGAACTCAAGGTTGTATCAGAATCATGAATATGTATTGCGGGTCTTTTTTGCAGATTCTGCACAATGCATATCATTTTTATTTCTTAAGTGCAAGGGAATGTAATGTTGTATTATATAATGTTTGATTATATATTTATTAGGCGTCTGTATGAAATCCCAGTGGGAAATGTGCGGTCTGTAGCCCGTATGCTGTGCTTGCCTTTTCTTTCCCGGCTAATACTGGATTTCTCATGCAGTCTATTTCACATTAATCTCTAAGCTCTAAATAAAATCTGCGAGAAATAAAGCATTGCGCCTTGGCAGCTCTGAGATTGTGAAACAGAAATTATTAGCAAATTTCATCAGCACCTTTGGCCATTGCTGTGACAAGGGAATAATAAAAACAAGCCTGTAAATGCTGATCGAAAGTGAGGAAGAAAAAAACGTGCCTCCTGTGTCGGCATCTGATGAGGAGAGAAATAAATTAGAAAAGAAATAGTTCACCTTAGGAGCAGTCATTATTTACTCATATGTTGTTCCTTTGATTTACTCTTTGCAGTGGAGTACAGAAGGAAATCTTTTAAAGAATATCCTGCCCACTTTTTTCAGTATAATAAAACTTCAGAAGATGTATGACTTCAGAAGCCTTGGAATATAGCGTTAGTTGTATAGACCGTTAATGGTATGTTAATGGTATGTTTAGTGCTGAGCTCCATACCCAATTAATTTTAAATGTATGTAAAAGAATGGTGAATGTTATTTCCGGTGTTCACATAAAAAAGAGTTTTGCAGGGTCATTCATTCATTCATTCATTTAGCCAGTGTTTAAAACTATCTCCTTACCTTAGCCTGATTCACAACAGTAAGCTTGTAATAATGTTTTCTCATTTGAGTGGTACTAGTAGGTTTTCGCTGGAAATATGAGCATGCCACCGTTCTGCGTCATTTTTACATCTGTAAACATAAAAAAGTCCCAGCTAGTAGGCTATATTGCATGTGATGATGCTGCAGGTGGCGGATCATTTATTGCCTTTTCTCACAGCAGCTGGAATAATTAAATTGATCATTTTGATGGCAGATTGTAATCCAGAAAGAATTATGTGTTAATGATACATGTGATACATGTAATACATGTGAGTGACTGAAATTAGATTATATTCCAGTTTTAAATGTACATCTGATTACAGATACGTGGGATTACACAAGATTTTTATTTCAAAGAGAACCAATTCTAAAGAACATTAATTTGCTTTTTGGGTTAAATTAACAATTTCTTTATATAAAATTCGAATGGTATGACAATTAGAGATTACACTGCAGAACTTGAAATCTACAGGTAACGCTTATACACACAGTCACGCAATGCTGACGTTAAAATTAATAATAATTTGCACGGTTTGATGTGCTATGAGCTAAGTGATAGTTAGATTTAATCACCATTGGTAGCGCGATTTATTGTAATGCCTTTTTTTCCTCAGTTGGTCAGAACAAAAGTGTCAGACATGTTACTCGTTCAGATGACAATATCCAGTGAAAATTCTTATTTGGATCCTACTTCCAAGACATAGAATCTGTGATTCCTAAGTATAAGTATCCTCAGCGGACACATACGCCTCAAAACATTACATTAATTCGTGCTGAGGAGCCGTGCCGACCCACGTAAAGAAGGTGATTCCGCAAATAACTGCAATTGCAGGTTTCAAACAGAGATGCGATAAAGATGCAAAACTTACAGACTGCAGCTTTATGTATACAATTTAATAATTAGAATTTTATTTTTAAATTATTTTAAAATATATTGTTTATTATTGTACATTTTCTCACATTTAAACACAAATCTGCACTAGCGTTTAACAGTTTAGGTCATTAACATTTTTATTTTGAAAGAAATTAAAACTTATGTTGCAAGGACATGCTAAACTGATCAAAAGTGGAAAGACATTTACATAGATTATATAATGTTTGATTATATATTTATTAGGCGTCTGTATGAAATCCCAGTGGGAAATGTGCGGTCTGTAGCCCGTATGCTGTGCTTGCCTTTTCTTTCCCGGCTAATACTGGATTTCTCATGCAGTCTATTTCACATTAATCTCTAAGCTCTAAATAAAATCTGCGAGAAATAAAGCATTGCGCCTTGGCAGCTCTGAGATTGTGAAACAGAAATTATTAGCAAATTTCATCAGCACCTTTGGCCATTGCTGTGACAAGGGAATAATAAAAACAAGCCTGTAAATGCTGATCGAAAGTGAGGAAGAAAAAAACGTGCCTCCTGTGTCGGCATCTGATGAGGAGAGAAATAAATTAGAAAAGAAATAGTTCACCTTAGGAGCAGTCATTATTTACTCATATGTTGTTCCTTTGATTTACTCTTTGCAGTGGAGTACAGAAGGAAATCTTTTAAAGAATATCCTGCCCACTTTTTTCAGTATAATAAAACTTCAGAAGATGTATGACTTCAGAAGCCTTGGAATATAGCGTTAGTTGTATAGACCGTTAATGGTATGTTAATGGTATGTTTAGTGCTGAGCTCCATACCCAATTAATTTTAAATGTATGTAAAAGAATGGTGAATGTTATTTCCGGTGTTCACATAAAAAAGAGTTTTGCAGGGTCATTCATTCATTCATTCATTTAGCCAGTGTTTAAAACTATCTCCTTACCTTAGCCTGATTCACAACAGTAAGCTTGTAATAATGTTTTCTCATTTGAGTGGTACTAGTAGGTTTTCGCTGGAAATATGAGCATGCCACCGTTCTGCGTCATTTTTACATCTGTAAACATAAAAAAGTCCCAGCTAGTAGGCTATATTGCATGTGATGATGCTGCAGGTGGCGGATCATTTATTGCCTTTTCTCACAGCAGCTGGAATAATTAAATTGATCATTTTGATGGCAGATTGTAATCCAGAAAGAATTATGTGTTAATGATACATGTGATACATGTAATACATGTGAGTGACTGAAATTAGATTATATTCCAGTTTTAAATGTACATCTGATTACAGATACGTGGGATTACACAAGATTTTTATTTCAAAGAGAACCAATTCTAAAGAACATTAATTTGCTTTTTGGGTTAAATTAACAATTTCTTTATATAAAATTCGAATGGTATGACAATTAGAGATTACACTGCAGAACTTGAAATCTACAGGTAACGCTTATACACACAGTCACGCAATGCTGACGTTAAAATTAATAATAATTTGCACGGTTTGATGTGCTATGAGCTAAGTGATAGTTAGATTTAATCACCATTGGTAGCGCGATTTATTGTAATGCCTTTTTTTCCTCAGTTGGTCAGAACAAAAGTGTCAGACATGTTACTCGTTCAGATGACAATATCCAGTGAAAATTCTTATTTGGATCCTACTTCCAAGACATAGAATCTGTGATTCCTAAGTATAAGTATCCTCAGCGGACACATACGCCTCAAAACATTACATTAATTCGTGCTGAGGAGCCGTGCCGACCCACGTAAAGAAGGTGATTCCGCAAATAACTGCAATTGCAGGTTTCAAACAGAGATGCGATAAAGATGCAAAACTTACAGACTGCAGCTTTATGTATACAATTTAATAATTAGAATTTTATTTTTAAATTATTTTAAAATATATTGTTTATTATTGTACATTTTCTCACATTTAAACACAAATCTGCACTAGCGTTTAACAGTTTAGGTCATTAACATTTTTATTTTGAAAGAAATTAAAACTTATGTTGCAAGGACATGCTAAACTGATCAAAAGTGGAAAGACATTTACATAGTTAAAAAAGATTTTAAATAGATGCTGATCTTTTGAACTTTCTATTTGTCAAAAAAACATCAGTTTCCACAAAAATATGAAGCAGCACAACTACTTCAACATTGATAATAATAAGAAACATTTATTGAGCAGCAAATCATCATATTAGAATGATTTCTGAAGGATCATGTGACACTGAAGAAATATATTTTAAAATAGAAAACAGTTGTTTCACAATGTTAGTGTTTTTACTGTATTTTGATCAAATAAATGATGAGCCTATGAGACTTCTTTCAAAAACATTATCTTACTGACCTCTAACTATTATCCAATACATATACAAGGTTAAAAGGGTTGAAAAGAATTTGCCACTAAATGTCAAAGAAAAGCAAATGAAAAACACTCATATGCATGATATATATGATAAAAAGTTAAGATAAAGCATTGGCCCAATGTCAGCTGGCCTGCAGCTCTTTCACACTGACCCAACCACAGCCGGCAAGCCTTGATGAGCCCTGGGTTTATAACAGCATGAGGCGGAGTAAACAATGGAAATTTGGGTTTTTTGTTTTCTTTAATGCCATTTTCATATGAATAATGCAAATCTGCTGTCAGGGCTTCCTTCCTGTTATTTGACAGTTACAGTAGACAAGTAACTTCAATTTATCAGTTTTTATAAAAGTTATTCTGTGGTTTGAGGCAACAGCAGAAAACCTAATTTTTTAGGTGACCGAAACAAATCCACTGAAGGTTCAGAAATGAGCTTATTAGCATAGTAATGATTCCAATGTGCTGTTTATAATCTGTCTTCGAAGCTGTTTACGCTCTATTTTTTACCACTCATATTCTCTTTTCCACGCTGTTCCATAACCTGCATGTCAGTTGTGACATTTGAATGAGTGGCATGCTGTAAAGTGGCAAAACAGCATATTTCCATTATAATCAGAAAAAGTTGCCTGCACTTACACACTAAAATGCCCCTATATACTTAAGTGAAATTGAAGAATGAACAAAATTAGGCCGAAAAGGAATTCATTTGGAGTTTGTTTCTGTAGTTCGAAATTGCTTGCCAAAATGACCTTTTAAGATCTCCATTTCTGTTTTGATTCCTTTTTTGATGTGGAAATCACACGGGTCTCCGGGTTAATTTCTTCTATAATTTCTCAATTGTCGACACAATCATTTTCTGTTTAACTTTAGCGTAGAAATTCTGTCGATACCTAAAATGCTAAAAAAGAATTGTAGGGATGCATGATATTGTTGTTGTTTTTTTTGGCGATATCCACTATGTCGACATCGGCTATCGGCCAAAATGGAGTTGAAAAATATCAATAGCGATATACATTTCCTTTTGTTTAGAAACAACACCAAGTCTCTCCTGTGCAGAGATTATAAACAAATAATTTTTGTTTTGGTTACTTTTGCGCATGAACTAAATAAAGAACAATAATAAAGTTATTTTCATAATGAGAGTACATTTAAAGCTTTGAAAATAAATGATCTAAAGCAAACGAGTTTTAAAAATGTGAAAACTTTTAGAGCTCGTAGTATTTAACTTTTCATAAGCCGTTTGGGGAAATAATTACACATTATTGAATAAACCTGTGTATACCACTGAAAGTGTGAAAGACATAAACTCTTAAAAATAAAGGTGCTTAAAAGGTTATTCACAGAAATTGATTCCATAAAGAACCAGTCAGTCAAAGGTTATTTAAAGAACCATCTCTTTCTTAACTTTTTATGATCTGAAGAGACTTCTTTCACCACAAAGAACCTTCTGTGAAATGTAAAGGTTCTTCAGAGGTTAAAGTTTCTTTATGAAACCATTTCAAAAAAAGGTTATTCTATGGCATCGTGAAGCACCTTTATTTTTAAGAGTGTATGACAACATTTACAGGATGCATTGATGAGGAGCCCAAACTACACTCAGTGGCCAAGTGATGCTTATGGTCCATGATATTGGTACAGATTCTGTGTAATAAACAATGCTTGACTGTAAATTTCAAGTTGTAAAAGACATTTAGTTCCCACTTTATGCGAACCTTAGTTCCCAGGTCACCTACAAGATGGATTAAAATGCTGATAAAGTCAAGAAAAGATGAGACATAAACACATGACAGTATGATTGAAATGTTAAAATGTAAAATAATAAAATAAATAAAACACGTTTATTCTGTGGCATCTAAAAAATAATTTGGCGCCTAAGTTTGTTTCTTATAGGAGCCAATGGCTCCTTACTCGATTTTTTAGTTTGGAGCCCTGCTCACATGTAGTGAGGTTAATCGGTTCAGACGCTGTCTGCGCTGACCATCTATCTCCATGTTGTGGCTCCTCTGAAGGAAGTGGAGATGTGATTGAATGTTTGTTGTCTGCTGTGGACAGGTTTGGGCTGTGTGTGTGTTTGATTTGCTCTCGATTGGTTTTTAGGTGTTGCTCAGACCGGGGGAGCCGCTGTCCTGCTTTGGTGTTCTGTCAGAGCAAACTCAGCCAGTTTTGCTTGATAAACATATTTCAGCCAGTGACTGATTACAGCAGCCGCTGATCTGTAGTGTGCATGTTGAGCAATTGATTGTTTCTGTGTTTGCTCAGGTCAGCTCAGGGGTCTCAGCAGACGGATGAGGCTGCAGGATCAAGTCCTGATGATGAGCAGCCAGGACCTTCCCGCAGGAAACGACAGCCCAGCATGTCTGAAACCATGCCGCTCTACACACTCTGCAAAGAAGACCTGGAGAGCATGGACAAAGAGGTTAAACACTCACACTTTCTTAGCTAAATGAGGACATTGCATAGACTTCAGATGTTTATATACGTTAGTTTTACTAGTTATAAAAAGTATGAAGTCAGAAGAAGTAAGAAAAGTCAGAAGAAGTAAGTCCCACACTTTATATTTCTTGTGGTTATTTGCAAATTGACTTTCCTCTTCCATGGAAGAGAGGGGCGGGGTCAGCAGAGCCCATTAGCATTTCAAGAGGCATGCACCGAAACGGGTCGCTGTGTTTTTGACAGGTAAAAAGTATGTTGTTCTACACTACCATTGAGAAATTTTAACCAAAGTATGGTTGCAGACATTTCATGAAGACCCTAAAGAATCATACCAACTTGTGGAAAATGGGCATCCGATGTACCGTTTAAAGTCAGATTTAGTTGGATCTATTTTCATTTTTTTTCTTTGGGTGTCCTTTTAATGTTGATTCTTTTGTTTGATTGCTGTGCTGATGTCCTGCTTGACATTTGTGTTGATAGTTTGTGTACTGAAATGTTTACGGTGGCGTTACATGTTTAATTCATGACCGAGCCACAGTTACATTCCTCCCCCCACACAAAGCTTTTAAGATTCATAAAAGCTCATTAAAAATCCTGAACAAATATCCTGAAGTCATTCCCTGACGATGAGCCAATGTTAATCACCCTCTGAGATCAGGAGGTGCTGAATATTAATGCCGAGACTGTTTGAAGAGGACATGTAAGAAGCAAATTACTGTGATCATAGCAAAGTGCAGATTGAACTGCTGAAAATTAAAATGAAGTCCCTGCCTGATAAAAATTTATTTACCAAACTGGAAGTTGAGGAATTAAAGATATTAGGAATGGAGCACTAGTGCTTTGAGCACACTACTATTTAGTGCTTTGCTGTTTATTCACCCTCATGTTGTTCCAAACCTGTGTGAGTTTCTTCCTTCTGTGGAACATAATAGAAGGCATTTAAAAGGGATAGTTCATCCAAAAATAAAAATTCTGTCATTAATTGCTCACCCTCATGTCGTTCCAAATCAGCAAGACCTTTGTTCGTCTTCGGAACACAAATTAAGATATTTTTTATGAAATCCGAGAGCTTTCTGACCCTTCATAGCAATGAGACTGAAACGTTCAAGACCCAGAAATAGTCCATGTGAAATCAGTGGTTCCATCGTAATTTTATGAAGCTACGAGAATACTTTTTGTGTAAAGAAAACAAAAATAATGACTTTATTCAACAATTTATTCTCTTTCATATCTGTCTTTGCCACACGTTCACAAGTTTCCAAAATTTCTGGAATATTTCTGAAATTTACTAGAAATGTTCCACCTTTTTGCAACCCTATTTGTGTAGCCTAAGTAATTTGTTATATTAGGCATATAGCATGGTGTATTTTTACTAGTTTTGTTTATAAAAGTTTTATGAGTTTGACTTTGTATTACTTTGTTGCTTGAATTGAATCAACGCCAAATTGCTTCTAATTTGAAAGTTGAAGTAATATGCACACGGCGCTTTTACAAGCTATTTAAAAGCAAAGGAAAGCGAGGATAAACGAAAAGTGAGGAAAGCCCCCCCCCCCCAACGCCGATAGCGGTATTACCGGTGTCGTCACACGTCGATTAACAGATGGGAAAATTTCCTCACCGTCACAATCCTAATGTCACATGGACTGTCTATGCAGGGTCAGAAAGCTCTAGGGTTTCATTAAAAATATCTTAATTTGTGTTCCGAAGAGGAACGAAGGTCTTGGGTTTGGAATGACCTAAAGAGTGAGTAATTAATGAAAGAATTTTGTTTTTGGGTGAACTAACCCTTTAAGAATGTTGGTGACCAAACAGTTGCTGGTCCCCATTGACTTCCATAGTATAGAAAAAAATATGGAAGTCAATGGCTTAGGGCTGTGCAAAAAAATCTAATATGATTTTCATGCGCATCTCCTCAGTAAAGCCGCTCCTGTGATTAGTAGTAAATCTCCAGCACGTGCTTTCAGATGAAGTGGCATTTACTGCACAGAGCCGTAGATCACTGACAAGCTACACAAAATCGCGTTCAAAATCGCAGGCGATCCATTGCCGATTTTGAACGCGATTTTGTGTGACTTGTCAGTGAACTACGGCTCTGTGTAGTAAATGCCGCTCCATCTGAAAGCATTAGTTTACTACTAATCACCAGAAGTGGCTTTACTGACTAGATGCACATGAAAATCGCATTTGATTTTTTGCACAGCCCTACAATGGCTACTGTCAACTGTTTGAATACCAACGATCTTCTTTTGTGTTCAGCTGAAGAAAGAAATTCATGCAGGTTTGGAACAACAGGGTGAGTAAATGATCACAAAATGATGATAATTAAATTTTTGGATGAATTATCCCTTTAAAAGTGAAGTCATGAAGAGAAGCGTTTTCACATGAAGAACAATAATGGGCAAACTGGGCGCTATCTTTCTGTCGGTGTGCTGGATCAGTGTTATTGCAGTGTGATATGAGTCTTTGCACTTGTATTGCTTTGCTTATTTATGAGCACATTTCCGTACAGCCTTCCTCTTCTGACCTTGCTCTTCGTTTAAGGTCATCTTCATGCTGACTGGCTCTGCTTTATTAATGATTTTATCTGATCTTTAAAATTGGTCATGGGTGTGTGATTATAAAAAAGGTGTGCTTGAAATGATGAACCCTGCATGGAATATTTCTTTTATCCCAGCTTTGTTGCCGTCAGCTACACTTTCATAGCTCAAAGTGCTGTATATGGAATGAGGTTTTTTTTCTTCACCTTTTTTCTTTTGCATTTGTCTTGTCTTTTTCCACTTTTTCTCTGAAGTGTGAAAGAGAAAGGTGTGCCTCATGGCTCTCTCTTAAAACCACTGACCTAGAAACACCGCTTCAGAGCTTCTTTGACTTCTTTCTCATTTGTCAGCCTGTCTCAGTTCTCCGCTTAGCAGTTATAACATCTCAGCAGTCCATGTCAGAAATCCTGTCACTGCTGACGGTGTTCATAACAGCCGTGTTGCGCTTCCCAGGTCAGATAGCTTCATTTTTTTCCTGTTCACCTTCAGGCTCACTCACATGGATGAAACTAAGCTGTGTCTTACCTTTAACGCAGCAGTGGCTTCAACACAACGGCATTGGTTTGATCACTCATAGGCACATTTTTAAATATATGCTTTGATATTGCCTCTTGCACAGTTGTAAATTTATCCGCTTACATTTTGTGCAAACATTTGGACTTTTAATTGTACTTTTTGTAAAAATTTATGTAATGTAATCTTCAGTGTGCATTTTAAGGGAAATTTGATTTTTAAATGTAAAATTCAATAACAAGAATTCTAAACTGTAAATCATATAAAACTTGAACCATGTAAGACATAAAACTTAAACCCTACAAGACACAGGGCATTTGTCATTTTATATCTGCAACATATTTCATGATACCCGAAAAGGAAGTTTTAATGGATAAAGTGTTCTCTATTTGTTTCTTCTCTTTTCATGTTTTATCATTTAAGACATTTCTATCTTCTTTTTATTCCGTGAAAGCTTGATCCCTTTGCCCATAGGGATTTCCTGGAGCGTCATCAGTTCTGTTGCTTCTGTGATGCATATGTGGAGTTTCCGCCCTCCAGCTTCCAGTATGAATGAAACAGATTTACATGTGTTTATAGCGTTCAGTAATGGCCAATCAATCCTATTTTGGGAAAAAATAATAGTTCTTTTAAAATAAATTTGAAGTAGACATATGATTGTGTAGACATATGTTTTTCTTCAGTGTACTGAAATTTGTTTTAAATTTGTTTTAAAAATCACGTTTCGCAAAAAAACAAAAACACTGATGTGCCAAGCCATCAGAACCGAGCCGTGGTAAAAACCCGAGGTATGTATTGAACGTGGGCTGACTGTATTGTTTCATACCTATTACATAGCCTCAAGGACCTTTGCAAAAAATTTTAATATACAGATTTGTATGTGCGCATGAGAAACCATTAAACAATGCACACTGAGCCACCTGTTGTGTCATCTGCCTATTTCACGGTGTGGATTCTTGGCCAAGAGACCTAAGGCCTTGAAATTTTACATACTGCCCTAATGAAAGCCAAATTTTGAACTCTTTTTTTTATAGACCCTTGAACTTGGCAAATAGGACAAAAGAAAACAGCCGTATTATGCCATCAGCCTATTTTGAGTCATGGTTTATTCGCCACCACAGAGGAAATTGAGCAAGTAGATCTCTATTAATTCATGTGCATTCATGCTCTCGTTTTATTCATAGTAAGATGACAGTGATACACAATGGAAATAGGTTATATAAAACTAGAAATTGTAATGCATAAGCATGCATTCTTGTGTGCATGCAAAAGTCAGTATTTATTTATTTATATTTTAGGGCATTAGTTCTCAACCTTTTTACCCATTATCCAGGTCCCTCACTGCCACCCATCAAATAAAACATTCTAAATGTCTTCACTGAACATTACAGTTGATTATTATTATTTTGTGTTTATAATGGGTACTGTTATTTTCACAGTACCATTCAAATGTATGGGGTCATTTTGATTTTTAAGAAATTACATTAATTTAAGGATCCATTGAGTTGATCAAAAAAGACTGTGAAGAACTTTTTTTTTACAGTGAAATATTTGAAAATAAGTGTAATAAGATTAATTTACAGAGTTTTTAAGCATGCTGGTGATTTTCATTACTACAGCTTCAATTATGTTGAGATCTGATATACCTTGCCCCAAATTTAAAAAGAATTTATTTTATATCCACGCTATAATGATTTCTGAAGGCTCATGTGACACCGAAGACTGGAGTAATGATGCTAAAAATTCAGCTTTGATCAAAGGATATTCAAAAAGTTGTTTTAAATTGTAATATTTCACAATATTATTGTATTTACTGATTATTGATCAAATAAAAATTCCCTCAGTGAGCACAAAAGACTGCTTTAAAAAATATAAAAAAAATCCTGTTTAGAATATAACCACTGGGGCATTTTTAAAAAAGAGATTTTAGTTT